TTTTTTTGCTGCTTACCGTCAGTGTTATTCTTTGGTAAAAGTTTTTAAATTAAATTTTAATTGTTTATACAACGAAAGTTAAGCAAAATAAGCGGCTACATGTTTGGCAGTCAGTGGCAGTCAGGCAGGCTGAGCTTCTGGTTGCCGCCTGTCTGTCTCAAAAACTAGAAAGTATTTGGCTGCGACTCAGATAATGCGCGGCAGCTGCTGAAGACGGAGCTACGACCTTGAGGTAATGGCAACGATAATACAAAACAGCAAGAGCAACAATAGTAATAACAACGCCAATACTAATATTTTTATGCATAATTTCGACTGCCAACAATAATGAGCTACAGCTACGACTGGCGTCTGGTTATGAAGCGGACATGTGTGTGTGTGTGTGTGAATGTGTGTGTATAAATATGGGTGGGCATAGCCGTAAAATATGCATGGCATTTGCATAACATTGCCAAAAGAGTTGACGGCAGTCCGGGTATGAAAAGACATGGGGCTGGCTGCACACTTAAATCAAAAAGCGTTAGCACAATGCCAACAGCCAATGAAAGAAAGCCAATGAAAGAGCGACAGCGACAGGAACTGGAGCTGGAGCTGCCAGCATTTTTGTCATGAAAGAAAATTATGCAAATTGCTAATAAATTATAGTGAGCCACCGAATGAAAACGACATGTAAAATAATAACGAGCTCAGGCAGCTCCTACTCCCGCTCCTGCTGCTGCTCCTGCCTCTGTTCCTACCCCAACAGCATGGAGAACTTGCCGCGAATTGAATTACAAATGTAAACACAATGCCACTGCCCACCAGCGAGAGCGCTGCAAAATCATTAAAATAATAAAGCTCGCTATGTATGCTGATGCTGCAGGACTACGAGGATATGCCTTGCTGAATGGCAACGGAGCGGACATCACAAGACGCGCTTGCCAGTCGGCAGCATTAACAAGCAAAAGGGATAATAGCAGAGCAACTATCGCATGGCGAAAACTTTTTGGCATTTATTGTGTTTGTGTCGAATGTTTATTTATGATTGCATGGCGGAGGCGAAAAACAAATTCCATGCGAATTTACATTACAATGAGCATAACAAACGGTCCTGCGGCGACCGCTCGTCTGTGCGTTGTACCGTGTCCTCGTTTGTGTATTAAATTAATGATACTTTCTAGTTCATAAAATTCGCTATATGGCAACCAACAACGGCTTTCTCGGCGTATGGATGTCAACGTCAAAACACAAATCAAATAATCTCATAAATGAGAGCGGCGGGCTTATACTCGTAGTATACATATACACATTCCCTGATTTGGATGTTTGCGTGAAACGCACAAGTGTGTCTATTGAATTGTAACAAATTGATTGTCATAAAACATCGTTTATATATATTATAATGTGCGATATGCTGTTCATGCCTCAGTTCAGTCAACAAACAACAAGAACAGCCGTCCCCTCACATCCTGCACACATTCGTATGATATATACGAGTATACTATACTATATACTGTATAAAGCTGCGACCGGGTGCCCATGATTTCACAAGTGGCGATGTGAATGATTGCGATAAAGATGGCGAAGGTGGCGGCGTCGGTGACGTCGTTGACGCCGCCTTTGTCCGCTTTATGACAACGATAGTTGCCGCCGGGTTCAAAGTTGTGCTCCAGAGAACTTGAACTCTGCGCTTAAGAACATGCTGTCGTTCACACACATACCGTTACACCTAGAAAAAAGATGAATGCAGATATTTTTCAATAGAACTGTTTTCTAAAATATTTGAATTGAATGTGCAAGTTTTTGATTGAATTCAAAACCTTTATTAAACGGGAATCGACGTGCGTCTTAAAAAATAAATAAAAAGTTTCCCTTTTTTCTTTCTTTTATACAGACGAATAGAACGTGGCTATATCCACCCGTGCCATCATACTGAACAAAAATATGTACACCCCTTCATGTGTGATACAGGTATTTTCACAAAATTAGTATAATATTTTTTTAACTATGAAGAATCTGAAACCATATTCACTTTTAGGTTGCACTCCCTTTACATAAAAAATTAGTTATTTAATCGAGACATCTTAAAAGCATTTCCAGCTGTACTATAAGTTTAGAAGGTATCAGGGTCTGAAATGGAATTCGGAAGTTCCAACTTCAAAGTGCTTGATATTTTGGCAAGAATGAAACAATAGAGCTGTGCGGGCCGACCTCTTAGAAACCTCATACCAAAAAATTAGAACTCAAACTTTATTTTTAAGCACACTAATTCTATAAAACAAAGATGTTTCCTCCATTGTCTTAGACATGATCAACGTGAGCTAACATGAATCCCATAAGGTGAGTTCGTTTCCTGAGTATGACTCGGTTCGAATCACGGCGCTACCAACATCGCATAAAGCATGATTTGAAAATTACTTCCAGCTTTAAAAATTCTATAAAAAATGTCAAGCTGTCGTATTATGGCCAAAACTGCAGACTGATTCCGCAGCATAATAATAATAAAAAATAAAAAAAACAAATGTTGGAATAGGACAACCATATTCTCAATGTGGTTTTAATATTTTTACAAATAAAGAAATCTGGAAATACTACGAATAAATAAAACATTCATTTGTATTACCAGAAAGTTAAAACTAGTTCGCATGCAATTTGGTAAATATTTAATACTAAAAACGGCATGTTTATTTATATACACATTTAAATTAAAGAAAAATAGTTACTGTATTTTTCTTTTGGTGTCCACACCCTACGCGTACGAGTATACCCCCGGTAGGTCCCACACACACAAAATTTATGGCTGTTTACAACAGATTGCACACTCCATTTGTTTTGTTTTGAACTGTTGCTACTTGACACACTTAACACACTTCAGTTCCTGCTTCTCCCCTGCACCGTCTCTTCAGCTAAATGGCATCAGTGAAAGTCCCGTTTGGTGCCTAAATGCTTCGCCACACATATGGCTTAGAACTCGCAGCAAACTTAGAGTTTTTCGCTTTAATTAGTTATTTTCTGGGTGCCCTGGGGCAAGTAACCACCAGCAGCTTGTGTCAAAGTAAAAGTGCTCTGACATCATATGCATGATTTGCGAAAAGTTTCAACTGCTCCAACTCTCTATTGTTTTTAGTTTTACTTTGGAGAGCAGGAATCATTTTAGGGCAGATAGATGCTTGTGCATAGCTGCTTGTTGTGCCAAGTTTATAGATTTCATAGCCAAACTTTTTCAACCCATCACGCGAAAGTTGTAAGCAATGTTTTTCAAACAAGTAAAAAAGCTAAAGTCGGGTGTCCCGACTTTGAAATACTCTGTACATATGTTTACAATAATTATAGAAAATAAAAAAATTAAGAAAATAAAAAAAAAAATTTGATCGATTTTACCTCTCTCGGTATTCGAACTCACGTATAATTGCACATTTACATAGCAATTGCGTCTGTGTGAGTGTATGTATGCCTATGCGCATCAATTCGTGTCTGTGTAAGCATTTTCGCAGTCAACCAAACAGCAACATCAACAACAGCCGCGGGCAGCGCTTGAGCAGCGCTGCAGCAGCGCTGCATCAGCAAATATATTTATGGCTATAACTTCTTGTTAAATAGGTCTATCATAATGAAATTTGGCATACGGACACATAATAACTAACTGGGGGTATTTCCAAAATTTTAGTTCGAAATTCCAAGAATTACGGGAGTTACGATTTGCGGGGTAGAGGGGGGAGGGAGGGGAATTCCAAAATATACATTTTCTGCGTATTCACATAAGGCATCTGGGACTAAAATTTGGTGTTCCTAGGTCTTATAGTCTCCGAGATATAGGCGATTATACGAATGGAAAATCGGGAAAACCCCCATAGGGGGGAAGTGGGGGGGAAAATCAAAAAAATAAAACAAACTCGTATAGAATACACACATAACGCATCTTCGTGCAAAATTTGGTGTCTCTATCTCTTATAGTCTCTGAGATCCAGGTGTTCATACGGACGGACAGACGGACAGACGGACAGGCGGACAGACAGACAGACAGGGCTAGATCGACTCGTCTCGTCATGCTGATCAAGAATATATATACTTTGTGGGGTCTGCCACGCCTCCTTCTGCCTGTTACATTTTTCAGCTCCCGCAAACCTAATATACTCTTGTACATTTCATGTACAGAGTATAAAAATCTTTCATATCCTGCAGGCAAGCTTACCTAATGTACTCCATGGCCAAGTATTTACTTCGAGACATAAAGCCATTTAAATGAGCCATGACGAATACATGCCTTAGAACTTGGACCGAAGAATAAGATATGTTAGCAGCCACGAGTCGGTATACTGCGCACATAGTTAGATCATAAGCTCATACATACGTCATGACATCAGAATTTAAGAAACACAATCATCATCGTAATCAGCAAATGCGACCTTTCTGGCCAGCCAACTAGCCAGTTCGTTGAACCACACCAAACGTACGCAACTTACCGATACGCACTTGAGACATAAACTATACAGTCTTTCAATATAACAATGGAATAGCAAAGCAAAACTACCAGCTGTCAGTTAAAAATTAAATATTTTGCATTAAGTCTCATTAAAAGCACTGAAGTGCTCGCTCACACTTGACCGTGAAATATTCGAACGCGCCAAAGCTCCCGCCGGCATTGCTCGAGCGCCGATAATTAAGCCCAACGTCACGCAGTGAGCTAAAGCGAGCCGACCAAGTCTTCAGTTCCGCACCACACAACTCCAAAGTAGTTGCCCACAGCTGCAGCACGAGGATTAACGTCTAAAAACCGGCTGCCAGTGCATCAGCTGAGCAAGCCCAGTATCTCCAGTAAGACCGACGGGCATGGACCACTTGAGCGTCTATGAGTGCCACATGTTTGAGCTTTCGTTTTGAATTTCTTGATTCAATGCCTAGCAACATTAAAGCTCTGCCTGAATATATTGTTGCTACTGCCATTGTTTGTTAGCAAACAAAGTGTCGGTCATTGTTTGCTCAGCGTGTTCGCAGTGTGGCAAACATAGGAGCATATAAATATGCCGACAATTGCGACTTCTAATCATTCGACACATAGATTCCATCGACTAAGCGAGGAAATCTATATCAAAATGGTACGTAGCATTAACTGAGGCAAATCCTCCGCGATACAGATTCCGGATATCAGAATACATACATACTTTTTCAATGTTTTAGAAAATATTCATTGCGTGCATGTTTATTGCCGCAGCGACGGCTGCAGTGATTCCTGTCGAACAATCCAGGCAGCGTCGTGATGTTTCTGAAATCGTCAACAACGAGTACATAGCCCCAGCTGAGGAAGATAGCTCCGACAACCCAATAGAAGATTCTGCCGCTCTCAGCGCTGATGGATACAAGTACAAGACTGTTCGTCGTCTGAAATATCGACAGCGTCGTGAAGTTTCCAATGATTACTTGCCCCCAACTGAGGATGTTGCTGTTGAAGCCCCAGTCGAAGAGGCCGAGCCCGCTCAAGATTCCGCTGTGCTCAGCGCTGATGGATACAAGTACAAGACTGTTCGTCGTCTGAAATATCGCCAGCGTCGTGAAGTTTCCAATGATTACTTGCCCCCAACTGAGGATGTTGCTGTTGAAGCCCCCGTCGAAGAACCCGCCCAAGATTCTGCTGTTCTCAGCGCTGATGGATACAAGTACAAAACTGTTCGTCGTCTGAAATATCGCCAGCGTCGTGAAGTTTCCGAGGTTGCCAATGATTACTTGCCCCCAACTGAGGATGTTGCTGATGAAGCCCCAGTCGAAGAACCCGCCCAAGATTCCGCTGTTCTCAGCGCTGATGGATACAAGTACAAGACTGTCCGTCGTTTGAAATATCGCCAGCGTCGTGAAGTTTCCGAGGTTGCCAATGATTACTTGCCCCCAACTGAGGATGTTGCTGTTGAAGCCCCAGTCGAAGAACCCGCCCAAGATTCTGCTGTTCTCAGCGCTGATGGATACAAATACAAGACTGTCCGTCGTCTGAAATATCGCCAGCGTCGTGATGTTTCCGAGGTTGCCAATGATTACTTGCCCCCAACTGAGGATGTTGCTGTTGAAGCCCCAGTCGAAGAACCCGCCCAAGATTCCGCTGTTCTCAGCGCTGATGGATACAAGTACAAGACTGTCCGTCGTTTGAAATATCGCCAGCGTCGTGAAGTTTCCGAGGTTGCCAATGATTACTTGCCCCCAACTGAGGATGTTGCTGTTGAAGCCCCAGTCGAAGAACCCGCCCAAGATTCTGCTGTTCTCAGCGCTGATGGATACAAATACAAGACTGTCCGTCGTCTGAAATATCGCCAGCGTCGTGATGTTTCCGAGGTTGCCAATGATTACTTGCCCCCAAGTGAGGATGTTGCTGTTGAAGCCCCAGTCGAAGAGGCCGAGCCCGCTCAAGATTCCACTGTGCTCAGCGCTGATGGATACAAGTACAAGACTGTTCGTCGTCTGAAATATCGCCAGCGTCGTGAAGTTTCCGAGGTTGCCAATGATTACTTGCCCCCAAGTGAGGATGTTGCTGTTGAAGCCCCAGTCGAAGAACCCGCCCAAGATTCTGCTGTTCTCAGCGCTGATGGATACAAGTACAAAACAGTCCGTCGTCTGAAATATCGCCAGCGTCGTGAAGTTTCCGAGGTTGCCAATGATTACTTGCCTCCAACTGAGGATGTTGCTGTTGAAGCCCCAGTCGAAGAACCCGCCCAAGATTCCGCTGTTCTCAGCGCTGATGGATACAAGTACAAAACAGTCCGTCGTCTGAAATATCGCCAGCGTCGTGAAGTTTCCGAGGTTGCCAATGATTACTTGCCCCCAACTGAGGATGTTGCTGTTGAAGCCCCAGTCGAAGAACCCGCCCAAGATTCTGCTGTTCTCAGCGCTGATGGATACAAGTACAAGACTGTTCGTCGTCTGAAATATCGCCAGCGTCGTGAAGTTTCCGAAGTTTCCAATGATTACTTGCCCCCAACTGAGGATGTTGCTGTTGAAGCCCCAGTCGAAGAACCCGTCCAAGATTCTGCTGTTCTCAGCGCTGATGGATACAAGTACAAGACTGTTCGTCGTCTGAAATATCGCCACCGGGTTTGAACTACTTGTTCAGGATTCAACTCCTTGTTTACGATTTTATAAATTTTACCCCACCACCAACTCGTATGTTATAAGAAACAATTATGTTTTGCCATTAGTTAACGATTGAAATCAACGAAATAAATCCAACTTAATTTGTTATTAAACTACACATAATGCTTTGGTTTCCATAAATATAACTCTTTTCCCGGGTAAATCGGTCAGCGGCCCTTCTTTTTGGTGAGCGGACGCCGTTTTAATAAATTGTGTACCTTTTCGTTTAGTTATGACAGCAACAGTTAAGCTCATGGCTCAGCGCACAAGAACGCAATTACCCAAAAGTGACGCCACCAGCCGGGCCCAATAAGAGACCAAGACCCTACCGGCACAACTACAACGAGAGCTACAAATACTTTAAGCCATACTTTTGAAGATGTTAATCTCATGTCAAGTCCACTTTACACAACAAACACACACGAGCAAACTCAACGTTAAGGACTTGGTGGTCACGAGGTAATGCGACCATTGATTTGTAGGTGGTCATTGGTGGTGTTGGCAGAAAAACTTGTTAAGTTAAAAGGCATTTGAACCGCATCTCAGCGTGCGCTTAGCCAACAAGTTGGGTGGCCAGGTCAAAACGCCAGTTGGGTCTAACAACTTCCTCTGCACGCGCGAGGCCCAGCAACTAATAATAATTTATCGATCCCCTAGCTAAAGTGGTCACATACGTGGGTCTTGGCCAGGGCCAGCCAACGCCGTTCTTATGATTTATGGCAACTTGGGACGTACTTCAAAGTATTTTTGGGGGCCGGTGTATGTGTGAGGGCGTGGGCGAACCGAAAACAACAAGCCAAGGTGCCAGCCAGTCGACCAGCGCAGTGCCAAATATGTAGGTCTAATATGTGGTTAAACAACTTATTTTACCTTTTGGTGTAGTCCTCAACTCTGCAGGGACACCGCCGATAGCATCGTTGCGTTGTGTGTTTTGGCATAAATCATGCAATAGCAATGACGTTATTTACTTTACTTTTTTGTGCACAATGGGTTATGTAGATCTCTCTTTTTGCTCAACTTCAAATGCATAGCGTTATGGCCGCAGGCAACGGTTCAAGTGACGCGAATTGTAGCGAAATCAAGGCCCTTCCATGCCCAATTGGAACCACTCGCCGAATATATCAACAGTCGCGCCATCAAGTTGAAATGATGATATCATTAAAAACAATTATCCCCGCTATGCTTTACGAGCTATGATAAGTTGTCGAAATGTCAACGCGGGTGACTACGCGCCACAACAAACTATTTTAATGGCCACGAAGAGTATGCAACTTCAAAAAGAAAATCACATAAAATTTTATGAATTATTTCAAATATTTTCAATTACCACAAGCGAAAGGCAGCGAGCAAGCAACCACCCCAACAACTTCTTAGATATACAAATGGAATTGCAGACCACATAAAAAACCGCATAAAGAGATTTATGCGCCATTCAAGCGTGGAACATTAACACATTCTAAGGGCGTCCTCGCCCAAAGAACGGACCAACCAACCAACCAACAACAAGTTGACTACATAAACAGAGCAATGAAAGTGAAAATATGGGTGCTATAATGTTCGGCCAACTGCTCCAAATTTAAGTTGATTAAAATTCAAAGTTCAGAGATCGAAATCGAAGCTGTGGCCAACTTGTTTGCGAAGCTATAATTTAACATTTATGGGGCTATTATCAAATGTTAGGACAGCACGCTGAGTCAGCTTTAGGGTGCTAATAAAGGGCCCCGCGCTCGGAACCGAGGCACCAAATCAATTTTGTCCAACCATAAGCTGCAGCTTAAACTCGCGCTGATTAGCTGAGCCACTACGTCGGTGCCATGCAAATAAAAAAAAATAAAAAAAAACGCTCACCCAAGCCATGCAGGCGGCCAAAAGACGATATTACCAAATAAGCCAGGACTCAGTCAGGATGTACGAGTACGAGTACGGGTATGTACTTGTATGTATGTGTATCTTTGTGAGTGTGTGTGTGTGTGTGTGGTAAACATGCTGCAACAACTTTACTGCCACAAAATAATTTATTCAATGCCATTTGACGTGGGCGTGGGACAACAAGTACCAACGCAGCGCACATGACAAGCAATTGACATTTTTGTGACTTTTGAAAACTATAAAATGTGCAACTGGATCGCAAGGCGGGGGCGGGGGACGACGGCAGGCCACAAGGAGCGGGTGGAACATGGCCAGAAGAAGGCAAGCAGCCAAAGAATAATGATGACGGGCATAACGACCATGAGAAAGAAAGGAAGACAGCATAGATGCGGCGTATACGAGTATACTCGTATACGGCTCAGTATAAAAAGAAACCGAACGAGAATGTTATTATTGTTGCTATTTTCTTGCTGGTGTTGTTGTGCGACGAAATAATAAAGTTGAGCTTTCTCATTTGTATGGAAGTGTGTACTCGTATGTTCTCTATGAAGAAGTAAATACAAATACGACAACAACAGCAACAACAGCAACAACTAAACTAAAATCGTCAGCGTCGTGTGTAAAAGGACTTACAGTACATTACACGTCCACCCAATGCGCCCCCCCCCCCCCCCCCCCCCCCCCCCCGCAGAAGACATGGAGGACGTCGAGGTTGAGGCTTGGAGTTCGCTGGTTTTGCTCGACTGCCATTTGTCGAGCTCGTCACGACAAGGCTCGGTCCGTATGCCGGATATCCTTTTTGACATGTCATTAAATTTTATACACACAATAATTTTTCACAATTTTCTTTATGACCATTTTAAGAGGCTGTCTGATGTTGGTGTGATGTCTGGCTATATGGTTGTATGCATTGAACGATGTACAGCAAAACAAAAACAACAACTGTCCGATTATTGAACATCTGGCAATGCTTTCAAACAGCCTTATGTACAATTGCCTCTAATTCTTAATTGACCCAATTGATGCAAACAAAATTTGGCTATATAAATTTATAAAATTAAACTAACATGAAAATGTTTCCAAGTTAGGTAATATATCAGTATTATGTAGACTGTGGTGTTTGTTACAGACCGTTTGGTGGAATATTTCAATCTATTTACATATACATACATATAGTAATTGTTTGTTATACTCTTAGGGCCGATTTAAATTGTATTGAGAGAAGTAAAATAAATATTCTGCAGCATCCGAGAAATTTTTATAGTTTTCTTAGTAGAATGTTTTTTATTTTTATTTATTTTTTTTACGTTTTCCGAGGTCAGTGTATATACTTGGGTATAAGAATTTGTGTTAGACTAGCGGGATTTAAATGGATCTTTTGCAATGTTTTGTTTTCCGAAAGCACTTCATTATTGAAACAAATTTGACAAATCTAATCTAAAAGGTAGAAGCCCTCTTTTTTAAACTGTCAGCTCTGTGTTTATGGCAAAGCAATGTATATGAATGATTTGTGTGTGATATTTTCTGCGGTCGGTAGGAACGAGGTTGGGATACCAAATGCAAGATTTACTAAATTTAAAAAATCGTCTACTATAAATGTTGATGTTAGCCTTAAAAACAATTGTATTTGTGGGCAATTAAGGAACCCATATTAATTGGTCAAATCTTATTCAAATTTGTTTGTACAATTTATTATTGAATTCTTTAGTATTTATATTAAACCTCCTTAAAGGAGAAAGTATATCGCAGAGCTTGCGTGGTCGTTTCGCTGCAATCGACTTATATGTATTAAGATTTCCGGCAACGTAATGAGAGAGTAATCTCAGTTCCATAGACTCATCTAATTTCATTTTGCAGCTAAGTCAATATAAAAATTGTCCGTTAAATGAAAAACAAATTTTTCATGTCCCTAGAATTTGAAAATTAAATATTTACTTGCATATTTACTCATCGGAAGGCAAAATTGAAAAATTAAACCAAAATAGGCTCAGATAATTCGACACAAAGTTATTGTCAATAACTTTCTGAGTAGCAGTCTTGTTTTCCTTTCTGATTCTCAAATATCAGAAAATTTGTGCAAAAGCTAAGTTTTTTATAGAAATGTTTACAAATTGTTTTTTAATTTGCGTAGACATTTTATGTGTTAAGTAAATTTGTACTATAGGAATAAGGTATTGGATTTTAAAAACCATATCATTAATAACATGCCTAATACCATTTAAAGTTTACTTGCCATTATTTCCTTTGCATAATTAGCATAATAGCGCAATTTGCATTTATTGCTCATTTTTGGCAATGAAAACAAATCCGCTTAAAACAAAGTCTAATTTCTGCAGTTAAAATTACTTCACAGTCATTTAATATGATTCGAAAATGCCAGCCACAAAAGGTTACTTAGGCCAACGACACCGATTCCAAAGTCATAAGCCTTTGTTTGTTTGTTTGTCTGTCTGTCTGTATTGTGTGTCTTATCTGTTGTTGGGTCTTCATGTCCGGCAGCCATTGCTTAAATTATACATTTTATTATGATACACTGATTCTTGGCTGCAGAGCTGATGGCACGACTTGCCATCGAATTGGCATTATGTAGCATTATAGGCAAACGAACCGACAAACCGACGCACTGTGAGCTCAAGTTACATCAACAACATCGCAAGCATTTGCTCGACGGTGGAGTGAAGATGACGATTGGGAAGCATGCAAAGTGAACTTGAAAAGGATTTAGCGTGTAGCCTGGCAGATGTGGTGGGCAGGCAAACAGTCAGTCAATGATATACGCATTAGGAGGGCCACATGAAACGTTTTCGGCGTCTCGATTTACCAGCGACAAAAGCTCAGAAGCTGCAATGCAAACGTTTGCATCTTTCAAGTGGCAGTTAAAAGACATACTCGTACATACATATAGCCACACATACTCGTACATATATATACTCCATCAAGTGTACAATAGTTGTAATGTAAAGCCGAGTCACTCGTTGGTAATAAAGGAAATCTTCTTACAAAACATTCGTTTAAGTTTATTCAAACAAACTTAGATAACACACACACACACACACTCACACACACTGAAACACACACACGTTTTTGCTGCTCCAACT